AAAATTTTAATTTTTTGTGACATAAAAATTTCACACATATATATATATAAATTCTTATATGTGTGAGGGGGCTTTTTTGTATAATGGTTGGTTGGTTGGTTGGTTGTTTAAATCTTAATCCTACAGGAAGTTCACTGAAGATCCAATACCATGCTGGCCATTGTTTCAATCCTATCTTACTGGAATGGCTACCCAAACAATGATATTTCACAAGAGGAAAACTACATACTAATTGCCTTATGAGCATAGATGCAGAAATATACAACATGCCAACAAACCTAATCCCAAAGCACATTGAAAAGTAACACTAGAAACAGAAGGACACTTAGCATGATAATAAACGTGGGGTTCACACAAGTCAGAAGGGACTCAACAGAAGACAGTTTAAATAATGAATTATGTGATAAAACATACACATAAAGCAGTAAGATAAAAGGTATTAAAATCATAAAAGTAAAATGATCACTGTATGTAGATGACATGATTCTGCCTATAAGCAATGCTAGAGAATACACACACACACAACTATAAGTTAATACATTTAACAACATTGGTAGGTTGCAATAACACTATCAGTTGCTTTCCTCTACAAATCTACGAAGTGTGTCATAACATGGATGAACTTGGAGGACATTATGTTGAACTAAATAGTTAATCACAAATGGGCCAAAGGTACATACGAGCACTATTGTAAAAAGTCAAGAAAATGTCTTCATACTAAAAGAAACATTCTTTGATGGTTACCAGAGTGGGAAAGAAAAGGTGGGAGGGGAATTCCCTGAGAGAGGCTAGATAAGTATTAACCTGGGTGAAGGGGAAGGCAGTATATGTGAGAGGTTGGCAAGGAAATGGTAGATGCAGGGGAAGACACTTGCATGAGTTAAAGACAACAGAGATAAATTATGTTGTATTCACACTCCTGCAAGTGTTGATCTGTAAATAGATGCCTGGATAGACATGCTGTGGGAGGGGGAGTATATCTAGGCATACAGGTTTGACAGAGGGTGGCCTGTAGATGTGTATTTATCTTAGCAGCAAATATATCCATGAATCTAGTGAAGCACACAAGAGACAAAGTTAAGAAACCTTCTTAAACATAACCAAACACCAGAAGGGAATGAGCTGCTGCGCTGGCGGGATCAGGACCATCACTTCTGAAGTCAATTGGCAAAGCACAGTTCTATAAACATCCTACTTTGGTGAGTAGCAACTTGGGTCTTAAACACTCATGAACAGCATCCAAAATACAACTATCTATTGGTTCTCCCCAACCTCCCACCCTAGAGAAAAGAAGAGTGATGACTGAAAGACATATGGAAACATTTAGTCCATTGGATACAGGCATATATCAGTCTCCACAAACCTGAGACCAGAAAGAGATGATACTCAGCTACCTACACCTAGTGCTCTGAAAAAAAGAAAGAAACCTACAAGAAAAGCCACACACACACATTAGAAGGCCCTAGATAGAATGAAATAAACATTTCGAGCAAAGGTCAAAATCAACACCACCCAGGCCTACTGGTTGCTTAGGCTGGTAGGACCCCCAACACTGACCTTTCTTCACCCTTCAGGTCTGGCACTGAACTCACTCCTGTGTGAGAATAATCAACCATTTAAGATCAAAAGGGCAGCATTACTCAAGAACAAAGTAAAGAGGGTTCAGAAAGGAGAAATGGAAATATGAAATAGGGAGGTGGGATAAGTGATAGCACATTGAAGAGATGAGACGAAACATGAATGAGTTGAAGCAAAACGTGTAGGGATTGTTGAATATAAAACTGATTATCTGTAAACATTCACCTAACTAACCTCAAACATTTCTTAAAAGATTTTTAAAATAAAAATACTATTTGCTTTTCTATATACTAACAATGAATAATACGAAAAGAAAATTAAGACAATTCCACTTACAATAATATATAGAAGACCTGAATAAATTTAACCCAGGTGAGCATCTTGTACATGAAAAATTAAAAAGCACTGCTGATCAAAATTAAAGCAGACCTTATTAAATGGGAAAGAAAACTCATGTTCATGGTTTGGACAAATACTGTTAAGATGAAAATATTCCCAAAAGCAACCTACATATTCAATGCAATACAATCCCTATACATATTTTCAAGATCTTTTTAGCTGAAATGGGAAAAACAATCCTTAAATTCAAATAAAAATTTAAGGGGCACTGAAACACACAGCAATAGAAGACTCACACTTCCCAGTTTAAAGACTCACCACTAACAGTTATGAAAACTGTGTGAGGCAGGATATAGGGAGAGATATAAGTCAGTAGACTAGAAATGAGAACATTTTTAAAAGACACCAAAATCTATAGTCAATTGATTTTTGACAAGGATGCCAAGAACAGCCAAGGTAAAAATAATAGGTCTCTTCAACTAACGGTGCTGGGACAATTGGGTCTCCACATACAAAAGAATGAAGTTGAGACAGGGAGCTTCTGGACATTTCAAAATCAGGGTCAGTTAACTTAGGAAATGAATTTCATAAATCCATCCTGTCAAACCAAAAGAATTCGCCAATGGTAATAGTCTAAGTACTATGGAACTCTGGATGCACAGATCCAAGAGAAATGTGAAAGTAAATTTTAAAATATGTTTTCAATGTATAGCACTTGGATATTCCTACGTTATCGTAAGTACATGGATTCTAGAAACCACATAAGCCAAACTCACTGCCATCGAGTTAATTCCAAGTCATAGCTACCTGCAGGACAGAGCAGAACTGCTCCATAGGTTTCTAAAGCTGCAATCTTTACAGAAGTAAACTGCCACAAGTAGAGCGCTTAACACTGTGCCACCAGGGTTCCCTGTCATTTAATGAATAACTATTTTCAGAATACATGATAAAATAACTTCCATGTGTAGGGTGGTCTTTGTCTGGGAAACACTAATACTAGGAAGTTTAAAAAATCTGTATTTTTCAAAACAACCCATGATAATAGGTATAAGTATTATTACCCTGAAGGGAAAAAAAAGAGGTTTAGACATAATAGACCATTTGTAGCTTTCATAATAGCAGTCGAATTTGAAAGTCTCTATTTTTGCCTCTTAAAATCACACCTCGTATGAATTCTTACTCGTTTCCTATTACAATATATGCTAGGACTTCAGTAGGTCATGAGGAATAAACTCCAAAGGTCTCTATGCTAGGTTCTTACATGTTCATCATATATTAAGTAAGCCATTCAATCCTTAGGAGGGCCTCTGGGTGAGGGGTGAGAAGGGTGAGGTGAGACACACCAGGTCAGATGTCTGCAAGCCAACAACACAAGGAATGCAAGGGATGCTACTACAAAGAAATCCACAAGGCCGAGACCTTGATTTGGTCTTTTGGCCTCCACAAGGAGAGGAAACCAATTTGTTCAAAGCTACCTATTTATTAAGTTCCCATGACATCACCACTATTACAGCACACTAAGTAACTAAGTCAACTCTATTACTAAATTATGAGACTCCATAGACTGTAGAAAAACCCTTCAGGTTTAGTGGTTATAAATTGGGCTGCCATCTTCAAGGTCAGCAGTTTGAAACCATCAGCTACTCTGAGGGAGAAAGTCTGGCCTTCCTACTCCCATAAAAAGTTACAGTCTCGAACACTCACAGGGGCAGTTCTACCCTGTCCTACAGGGTCGCTATGAGTCAGAATTGACTGGTGGCAGTGAGTCAGTGAGCGCTTTAAATACACTAGTAGCATCTATTAAGCACAAGGAAAGGTTGGTTTAAAGGTTGGCTTAAAGAGGGAGTTGGTTGCCACCACTGGATCCAGAACCCTGGATTAAAATTTTGTCTCTCCCTCTATTCTTGTGTGGAACACACTGGACAAGCAGGAAGAGCGGTGGTGGCCAGTTGAATAATCAAACAGAACTGGATATGAAATTGGTGCTCCAAAATTTACTAATTAGGGGTGTCAACCTTAAATTTCATATCTGACTTCACAGAGCCTTTTTTTTTTCAACTTTTAGCAACTGCAGAAAACAATACCACAGGTTGGAGCCAGGAAAATGTATTTAAAGCACCCGATATAACTCCTGGCTTGCAGAAAACACAACAAAACAGTGTCCTCCTTACTACTGACTGACTATTTTTTACGCTGGGAGAGCATGGGATCAAAAATAGCTTCTCCGCCTCCTTTACTCAATCAGCCAAGTCAACAGGTACATAGTCAACTTTGCATCCCCAACGGGTGAATGCCAGACTCCGATGTACTAAAATAAGGCTAAGTGCGCGAAAGTATTTGTAATGACAGCCTTACTCGTCAGTATATCATGGATAGCACACGGTCAATGCAATACACTGAAATGTATGGTGGATGCACTACTCAGGAATGGTGATGGAGCCATTCTGGAGCCTCAGCATAGGTAGCCTCCCTCTACCCCCAGGGCCCTCCCGCTATGGGACTTTCCCCTTTCAAAGCAGCCACAGGAAGTGTGCTTCTAGAAGTGGAGCATATTAACTTCGGATTCCCCAGTCAGTCCGTTCTTCATGGTCAAACTGATTATGAAAAACCCTGTTTCATGCACAGATGCTAAACACGTTAGGGATATTCACAAATGAAGCTAAACCCATTGCCAAGTCCATTCTGACTCATAGGGCAGACTGTCCCAGGAGGTGTTTACAAGGCTCTACAATTTTAGAGACAAACTGCTTCACCTCTCCCCCACGTCCCGCAGGAGCATGTTTGAACCACTAAGCTTTCGGTTAGCAGCTCAACGACTTTCACTAACCCATCATCAGAACTCCCACCAAAAATCGTTGGGTGCAATCTAATAGTGTGCAGGTCAAGGGAAACAGGGCCCCAAAACTGAAATACAGGCGTTGAAAGGGACACTAAGTAGATGCTAATTATCCCCACCCGACGTCACCCATTCTTTATCCACTCTTTTCTTTACGCCACTCTTTCTTACAATACAACTAAATCTGTCTGAGGTCCCACGCAATCAGTACCCACTCGCCCGCCACGCAGCTCCCAAATGGTCACACCTGGTATATCCGCGGCACACTTTCCAACTCGCGCCACAAGTTTGGGGCGTACCCACTCCTAAGCGGAAGTGACGTAAAGGGACACGATGAAAGCCGGAGAGCTCATCCTCCGACGTCCTAGACGTCTTCTGACCACTCCTTTATTCCCTGTGAGGTTGTGAAAAGGGTTCACCACGGTCTTGGAGACAACTACTTCCCCACCTCAAATCAAGTAAACTTTGCCCCATTGGCCCGGGAAACCACATGGCCTTTCCGCGAACTACGATTCCCGTCACACCCCGCGAGAAATACGTGACGCAAGAGGGCCAAAGCAAAGCACACTGGGAACTGTAGTCCGCTCCAGGTCGAAAAGAGTGCTCATTCTGCCCGCCGCCAGTCTGGAGAAATCAGGTGTACAGCTTAGAACCCGTCCGTGCTAAGAGAAGGGGCCAAGCAACATTCCTTACTCCCCACAAATGAACTGTGTTAGCCCAAAACAGTGTTTGTACGCCCTAAATAAATATGTTTTTCTTTGGAATACTTCCAACTCAGTAAGCACTCCTGAAACTCCTCCATCGTAGGTTCCAACTCAAGGGAAAAGTGTTCCTTTAAAAAGTGGGCAAAATGGCGGTCCTCCTAGTTTCAGCATTGGTTTTCCTTCACGTCTTTCAAGGGCGGAAACTTGCCGTCGATTGGTTCGTTTTCTCTAGGCAATGAGAAAGGGGTGGAGAGAACGGCGTTTCTTAAAGAGTGATAGGGCAATCTGGTTGTCACTAATTTCGAGTGCAGCCTATGATTAGTCGGATTCCCCGCGAAGAGAACGGAGAGGCGGGGCTAGTGCGTGGTGGGAAGGGGCGGGATTCTGCCAGCCGTGGCGGCCGCTGGAGCCGGTGTCCGGGCTGGTGATGGGGTTAATTCCCTATCGTCAGACTCTTACTTGCACCCCCCCAGCCTGCCGTCGCCCCGCCGCGCCACAGTCCAACCGCCTTCTCCTCCTCAGTTACGCGGGTAAGCGATGCCCCCGTTCCCCCACCGCCATGTCCCCGGGAATAACGCGCCTCGCTCCCCTCCCCCGCCCGCCAACCGGTAGCGCTAACTGAGAAGGAGGGAGACCAAGGCAAGATGTGTGTGAGAAGGTGGCCTTCCCCGCCGAGCTGCCGGCGCGCCAGTCGGGGCCCCGCCGAGGACCTGCTGCTGCCAGCCCGCCCAGAGGCCGGCTGCCTCGAGAGCCCGCGGCTGCGGCTGCAGCTGCAGGAGCTACCTCCAGCCCACCGCCCCCATCCGGGGGCCATGTGTAAAGCAAACCCCTCGAGGCCTAGCCGGGGAGGCAGGGGAAAGGTTCCCTGTCCCTGCCTTGGCTGCTGCTGCTGCTCCAGCAACCCCAGGGACTCGGAAACCAGCCACAGCAGGCCTGCCAGGGCGGGTGGCGTGCGCGCTCCTGCTCTCCCGGGGGCCTGACATCGGTGCTCGGTGTCCCGGCCCACCCCACCACCTCAGCTCCCGACCTGGCGCTGGGGAGACTGTGCGTTGGCAGTGGCGCCTCTTCTCCAGAAGGAAGCATGCATGCCACCGGTCTGCGGAATCGCGATATACCTTGGCTGTGCTGCCAGAAAAAGCACAATGGGAATAGGAAAAAGAAAGTTGAATGACTGTCAGAGTCACCGACCCTGGGGATCGCGTGGTAGTTGAACCTTCGACTTCCCCCCACCCCCACCCCCAGCCTCGTGTGTTGGAAGCATTTGGGTTGTGTTGTGTTGCGTTGTGTTTTCAGGGGTTTTGCTGGTTGTCCTGGTGAAGTGCACATGAGTGCTGCTGCTTTCCGAACTTGCTTTTAAAAAACTTAGTGATGAGGCTATCCTGTCCCAGGTATAATTGTGCCTGGTTAACAAACCAACCCGGTAAATAAGGGGTGCTTTCCACATTAAGCTTTAGTATGGTGATAGTTCCCATAAAAGTGTTCATAGGCTGGGAGTGAAGGGCTTCGAAAAGTTCATCGAAAAATAGGATTAAAAAAATGACATTTTTTCCCACGAACTCTTTGAAGTCCCTGATGTGTGTGCTTATACATAAGATCAGTTACATCCAGGGTTATAGTTCCACTAATTATAGCTGAAGAAGGCATTTGCTTTGAGCATAAAATATTATAGGTTACAAGAACTTTTGAGTAATGAAAAGATGTAAACATTGGAACTTGGCACTTGAAACAGTAAGATCCACATGATTGGAAAAAGTAGGCTATCAAAATGGGATATGGGGCAAACTTAGCAGATTGGGTCACATTTAGGGCTCTTCAGTTTTAACAGTCACATTTTGATTGAGGGGAATCTCTCCAAATACTGCTCTTTGCTTTTTTTATTGTTTTAACCTGGGAAAATATGCTTCAATGCTGTAATTTATAATCTGTATATAAGATATGTCTATAATCAAAGATAAACTTCTAGACCATTTCTGAGATTTGTTGCCAGAGTAAAACGAGTTCTGAAGAAATAGCTGAGCTTTGTCCAAGGGTTGTGCCATTTCTTCAGATCTGAGAAGCTTATGATGTCTCCTAACTAATATAGTCTAGGTGCAGAATTGAGCAAGATCCATGGGTACTGTTAAATGGTGTAAAAGAAAGAAATGTACCTGGAAGAGTAAGCTCCCTAAATCCCACCACAAATACCTATAGCATACTTGGCCCAGCATGATGTTTCCCAAAACTTGTGGGATGACTGCATCCCAAAACTGGGATGCAGGTAGTTCCAGAGCTCATGTGTTTTTATGTACAGAAAGGAAGGGCTGATGAGAATGAGCCATAGAACTGTTTATTCTGTAAAATAGGAATGATAGTGCTTAACTCATGGGAATGTGAGGATTTTGGATAAAGCCCCCAGTGCAGTGCATAACACCTGGTGGGTTTGATTAGATATTAACTATTGTTAATATTGACAGGAGGTGACTGGGAGTTGGAGTCTACTCCATGGCAAGTAACAACATTGTTTTCATGCTATCCCAGAATGAATTTGTTATTCACACACAGGATAGCCTTGTATCTCGAGAACATGCTCTCTTAATGAAGAGTCCTATGGGAGTATCTTACATAGTGACTTGAGTGCAGTTTACAGTTAGTCATATTTTAAAGCACAAGTGGGAAAATGGTGATGAAGTTTAAAAAGTTTTTTATTTTTTGTTTTTGAATTAATACACAGGGTTTGTGGAATATATTTCAAATATTTAGCCTGAAGTAAAGTTCATAGGTTCTGTGTCACAGTGGTAAACTTGTAATACCAAAAAAAAAAAAATTATTTTCAGCTCCTGTATGTTTCAAGAACTAGTTTATCTGATTGTCATCCATATTTATTGTATAGCAAGCAAAGGTACATTTGAACTCTAATATAGAATTTGAACTGAAGAAGTTCTTTGAATTCATTGGGGGCAACATTGGGTCACTACAGTCTTGCTGCTACTGTTATTTTCCAATTCTCATTCTGTATCAACAGCTGAGCATTTCCTTTCTGTGAAACTTACCAGATGCACTGTTTATTTCTCCTCCCAGCTGCTTTTGAAAATACTCATGTACTGGATCTTCTCACACAATGGTGTCCTTGGAGTTTTTACAGTCAGATAAATTTAATGTTAGCACAAAACAGTGTTAGAATGAAATCTTTATAGTAGTCATACCCCAGCCAGGAGCTGAAGTAGTGTGAGAAACCCAATAGAGCCAGGAGCTCCTCTATGGGGGCCTCAGTTGGGCAGCTGGAGCAGAATATTGAAGAAAATTGAAACAAACCTTCCCAAATAGAATGCAGAAGGCCCCTGCCTTTCAAGAAATGGAAAAGGTTTTCTTGTTGTGTGTTTCAGACTCAGCTCCAGCTGACAGCAACCCTAGGAGACAAAGTAGAGTTGCCTCATTGGAGCTCTTAAGCTGTAGCCTTTATGGGCACAATCACCAGGTCATTTCTCCCGTTGAGTAACTAGTGGGTTCGAACCTATTAATGAGCAGCCAAGCACTTAACCACCTGAGCTCCTTACTGGCCTTTTACAATATCTAATAATACCCAGATGGGTTCATATTAATTTTTTTTTTGATCCTCAGAAATTAAGCAGTGAGTTGATAACAGTTTTATTTATTTTTTTCACTTTTGAAAATGCTACAATAATACACTTGAGGCCTGATGGATTTGTAATAGATTGTTGCTATTCGAATTAGAAATTTTTACTAAGACTGTCCATAAGACTGGAAAAAACAAACTCACTGCCATGGAATCAACTCTGACTCCTAATGACCCTATAGGACAGGGTAGAACTGCCCTGTGAGTTTCCAAGACTAACTCTTTAAGGGAGTAGAAAGCCCCATATTTCTTCCTCAGAGCAGCTGATGGTTTCGAACTGCTGACCTTGCAGTGAGCAGTCCAGTTCTTAATCACTACGTCCCTACGGCCCCTCAGGACCGTCCATAGTCTATTTTAAACATGTTGGGCATTCGTTGAATCCAAGAGGTTTGATTGTAAATGGAAATGAACTTTTCAATCATTCTCTTAGCTCCCAAGCACAAAGTGCTCTGTCTTTATAACCACACCTGTATACACGGGTGAAATGTATTACTTGTGACTTTAGGTAACCCAGGTGGCTGTGTAAAGGAGAGAAACATATTTGATCCTCTCTTAATATAATAATCTTTTTTTAACAATTACTTATGAATGCTGACAATGTTTACTACTAATATGCACATGGGCAAATAATCAAACTAAACATATAATTAAATTGTATCTAATTCAATCTTGCTTCCTATATAAGTACATGTTGTACTTTTAAAAGTATGCTGTTAAGACAGGTACATGTACACAAATGTATCTTGTCCAGAATTTAATTCAATTAGTCATTGCCTACAGCTTAAATTTGTTACCTATAAGCTTGAATGCCAACACTTTATGATCTTTGTTCTCTCATTTGTGTTTTGAAGTGAACATTTATGTATCTTTTTCATTTCTGCATTTAAGCTCACTGCTTTAGACGGGTTGTATATTTTCTGAGAAGTCTTCATAAATACTAGTTCATATAACAAAACTCACTGCCATTAAGTTTATTCTGACTCAGGCACCCTATACAATGTGTCTGACACTGCAGATCTCTATGGAAGCAGACAGCCCTATCTTTCTCCTTCCTAGCCACTGGTGGGTTTGAACCTTGAGGATAGCAGTTCAGCACCTACCTAACAGTGCCACCAAGGCTCCTTACTAGATCGTATGTATAAAAACAAAAACCCTCCAAACTCACTGCCATTGAATTTATTCTGATTCATAGGTACCTTATAAAACAGTACAGACTGCCCTTTGGGTTTCCAAGTCTGGAAATCTGTATAGAGAGCTGCATTTTCTCCTACAGACCAGCTGGTAGGTTTGAACCTTTAACCTTGCAGTTAGCAGCCCAACATAAAACCAATTATGCCTCCAGAGCGCCTTACTAGATCATACAGTATATTTAAATTATTGTTCTTCCAGCTTGACTGAAGTTTTTATATCTGACTTCCTACGGCTGCTTCCCATCCTAAAGAAACCAACTTGAAAAGCACTCATAATATTTCTAATCTAAAGGTTTAAAGTAGTGTTATTTGACTTCTCCCACCTTTGGTTTGATCAGTGACATAGATGGGCTAGTTGTGTAATTAGCTTCACCAGCCTGCTTCTACATGAGAAAAGCCCTGTAGCTGGAGTCAAATGTCACCTCACAATCTAAGGGTCAAGTTTGGCCGATTTCAGATTGCTTTTGCTCTCTAGACCCCCAGTAGGGAAAGATACTCTAGGATTTTAAAAAAAAAAATCTCTGTACATTTGTAAATCAGTGCAAACCAATGACTTAATGAGCATTAAGACTAAAAGTCAATGGGCCCTCTTAAAAATCCTCTTGTGAAAAAAATGTTTGCTTAATGAAGAGTATGCATGTGTCCATATTTAACCAAATGTCCTCTGTAAAGTACCATCTTTACAATTTGTGTTAATTGGCCTACACTCTATTCACATGCATCTAGT